CGAAGGCAGATGCTTAAGCCCCTGAGCTGCCCAGGTGCCCTAATATCTACATCTTTGAACTAAGCACGGTAATAATTATTGGCTTTGACCTTGCTCCTTGTACAACATTTTACAAATGAGAAGACTAAAGTTTAGAAAAATTAAATAATTAGTACAAGTTTATATAAATAGGAAGTGATGAAATAAGGCTGATGGGGAAAGACACTATCATTTCCATGGTATGGGCTTTCAATTCCTTCCTTCCTTCCTTTCTTTCTTCCTTCCTTCTCTCCTTCCTTCCTTCCTTCCTTCACTCTTTCCTTCCTTCTTTCCTTCCTTCCTTCCTTCCTTCCTTCAACAAACTTCTATTTAGAACCCACTATATGCCAGGTACTTGATAGTTACTTGGTGGGATTTGGTCGGTGAAGGAAGTAAATGGATTAACATATAGTCCCTCCCAAAGAAGAGAAGAGAAGAGAAGAGAAGAGAAGAGAAGAGCTCAGAGCCCATTCTCCAGTGTAGAGATATAAGTGATATGTATCACTTGTCCAGTGATAAAAAGTGTTCTCTGGCTAGAACCGATCACCCATGCATAGGAGAGCTTATTTCAATTAGGATGTAGCAGAATTGAAATCTGGGGAAAACACATCCTGTTAAGAAGTGACTTATTGAGTATTTTTAACACTTTGAAAACAATATACAATAAAAATTCCAATAACTAATTAATTCACAGATTCAGAGCACACCACACCCCAGCTGCTTAGGAACCCACTTGTGGCAGGAAGTGTTACCAAACACATTGAGTCATTAAGCCTTCCTAGTTGGGTAAAACAATTAGGTTCAGCTGCCACATTTGCTCAAAATTGCTTCATGACGGCTTCTTTCAAGTTTCAATGTGTTATTTATTCTGTCTTGTTCTTTGCCTCAGCAAATGCATATGTTGACTCCTTGACTTTGTTTAAATGTTATTTAACACTTGCAGAAATCCCAACAGCCCAACCACTGTCCCTTCTTTAATCTAGCTTTACCTCTTCCCGGGGAGTAGTTTCTTATCTCCTTGTCCTGTGCAGGCTGGTGTCTATCCGCCACTTCAGTGACCTGCCCCTGGATGTCTGTGACTAACCCATGCTTGGCTTGGACAGCCAACCGGGACTGGAACAACGGCACCACAAAGAGAAGGGACACAAGTGTCGCTTGAACTGATGAGATTATGGAGGAGAGGAAATAGAGGGCAAGCAAGAATGAGTCCCACACAGGGACTCTGACGGAAAATAAGCCACAAGCCCCCTTGGTGGTTCTTCCATCTTGGCTTGTCTCTTGCTCACGCCTCAGAGCAGGGCAAGCTCCCTTGTCTAAAGTGCTTCAGAAACAAACTCCAAAGCACAACGTGAGCTAGCATCATTCTCCATCTTCTCTCACCATCGCACCCATTGCTTCCGTCCTTCTCTCAGTATGTGGCATATTCCTACACTCTCTGACCCTCAGACCACAGTGCATGTGGTTCACTTTACTTGGGTTATTCTTCGCTTTCCGTCCCCACTCCCTTTCTAGGTAACTTTTGTTTTACCAGTCAGGCCTCAGATTACACACCTTATGGAGGAATCTTCCCAGATAGCCTCCATCAGGCAAGGAAGGTCCCATGGTCATGTGATCCCAAAGTTCCTCGTGCCTCTCTCCCTTCTCAGAACATTTTAATAATTATTTCTTCAATTGACCATAATCTCCTTTATACTATAAAGTTTGTGAAGGCAGTAATCATGTCTCTCATGCCTTCTAGTGTCTTCTAGTGTCTTCTGGTGTCTTCTGGTGTCTTCTAGGGCCTAGCAGAGTTTGCTACAAAACTGAAACTAAACAAATATTTATTGACTGGGTAAATACATAAATTCTTAAAGAGATCAAGCTATGTTTCTCCGTTGACATCTGATATGCCACCATTTAAGTTAAAATAACTTGCTCCAACTCTACATCCATTAAGCTGCAACCTCTTCCATAACAGCAGGAAACAACTCGTGTTTATGGATATATGCGGATCTGAGGGAAGTATTTTCCTGAGCTTGAGGAAGAATCCATCACCACTGCCTACCTACCTGGAATAGAGCTCCGCTGACTCTGAAGTCGGAGCAGCTGAACTAGTCAGGACTTGCTTCGTTGCAACTAAATAAACCGAATTCAAAATGGTCTAGGTAAACAGGAAGGAAGGTACGAAGGAAGGGCAGAAGGAGGTGGAGAGGGAAGAAGGAAGAAAACTAATTCACAAAATAGAGCTGGCTTCTTTCCCAACTTCTTCCAAGGACTCCGCCAGCACCAGGAAGCTCCATCAAGCCATCCATCCACCTGTGGGTCCCTTTCTGCCACAGCCCTCTGTGTTAGCCTCATTCTATCCAGTGAGAAGGACTTCCACAGAGATTTCTGCAGACACAGTCAGCACTCTCTGTCACTGCCCATGCATAACTTCCCAAAGAAAGACGATGGATTAGCCTGCACACTTGGGTCAGGTGCCTATTCTCAGGCCAATAACTGGCGATAAGAAAATGGGGCATTGGGGTAAGTTACACCTACAATTTTTTTTTAAATCTAAAAGCCTAGAACATGTAAAACCCCCAACAGTATATCTATAAAGACTAGAAACATAGGTAAAGATACTTCATGTCACCCAAAACATAATCAGTCTGTAATAAAAATAAAATAATACTATCTGTGTTTTCGGGCTTTATAGACTTCATGGACCAGAGTTGTGCCTTTAAATAATGTTCCATGATCTAAGTTAAGGTCAAGATCTTCTTGTGACTTTTTCCTAGCTCGATCCTTGTTTCTGGAAGACTTTCCCCAACCATCCCTCAGCCAGAATCGGATGGGAATCAACTCCAAGTTCTCAGTCTGGGACTCTTTAGGCTGTAAACAATTAAAGCTGCAGAACCGGCATGCTGCCATATGAAAAGGGAGTGTTTTTTGTTTTTTTTAAGATTTTATTTATTCACTTGACAGAGATCACAAGTAGGCAGAGAGGCAGGCAGAGGGGAAGGGAAGCAGGCTCCCCGCCAAGCAGAGAGCTCGATGTAGGGCTCCATCCCAAGACCCTGAGATCATGACCTGAGCCGAAGGCAGAGGCTTAACCCACTGAGCCACCCAGGCACCCCAAAAAGGGAGTATTTTTGAGAAGAAGTCTCAGAATAGTGACGGTTCAGAGTATTTTGCCATCTTGTGACTTGTCCTCACTACACTGAATTAGTACATTAGAAAACCATTCTTTACTCAGCTCTCACAGTCTCGTGTAAGAAATTCTTGCTACATAGTTGACAATTTGTTGGGTCAATAAATCACTGCTAAATAAACAGGATT